GTTCGAATGTTCTTTTCTTGGCTCAGCACCTTTTGTGTCCATTAAAAAATACATTTCTCTGTGGAATTTACGGACAAATGTTGATCAAAGGCACAAAAAATATAAATTTCCAGTCTTCAAGGACACTCAAACTTTGGAAGCCACCAAACTTTGGCGGCCATTTTCTCGTTAATCTTACCTCTGACACCAGGCAACACCCAACTTCTTCTATCGCAAATATCTCGACTTCTGTTCAAGATTGATAGGTTGTTGTTTTGTTTTGTTTTTTCGCCAAATGCAGGACAAATGGACAAGGTTTAAGAGGATTCTAATAACTCCATAGGCGGGTTGTTGTTGGTTTGGGGTTTTTTTCGCCAAATGCAAGACAAATGAACAAGGTTTAAGGGGATACTAATAACTCCATATGCCCAAGAACTGATGAGTAGGCCTACTATTCATAACCTCTTGGGTGTTTATGGTTTTCTACTGCCCCTATATTATTATATTATAGGCCCTATAATATATGAATAGTGCTATTTATAACCTCTTTGATTTATGGTTATCTTTCGTTAGCTACCTACCGGCCCAAAATATTGGCTGACGTCACTGCCTTCAAAGGTGGCATTCTGTCCGCCATTACCAAAGCTACCGGGATCTCAAAGCTACGAGTGTCCTCCATCAAGGTTGGTGTGGTCACGATAATGCAATATACGAAGTCTGTCTCAGAATAACGTTTCAGTGTTATGCTCTCCTCACATATAATTCTAAATCACCTCCTGTTTGGTTTCAACAGAGAGCTTATTCAAATACCTATTCAACTATATATATTATATGCATGGGAGGGGTGGAAAGTGTGCAGTTTGTGAAGATTGTTGTCTTGTATTATTATGATTTTTATTATTATTATTATTATTATTATTATTATTATTATCATCATCATCATCATCATCATTATCATTATTATTTCTGCCTCAGATCAATTTTGAGAATGTGATCAGAGTCCGAGCCGTCCTACTGGACAAGGCACCGATCAGCGGAGATGTCAAATCTGTCAAGCAGCAGGTGGACTTGAAGACAGCCGGTGACGCGCTAATGGACGCTATACGACGGGGGCAGTTTACTGTCAGCTTGAAGGAGGCTGGCAATGCTGTGGTGTGTGTGGGGGGGGGTGAAAGAG